TCTGAATAGATGCATAATATCGGATGCATTTAATTGCCATATCAAAATCTCTGACTTGAGAATGTTATACTAAACTTTCTCCCTGATTCCCTCTTTTCTTTCTCCAGTGTAGATGGAGAACAGTAGGAAAATATGTTGTTAGCTGTCAAGTTCCTTAAGAACTTTCAAATGACCTTGTCAGAAAAAAAACCAAACCAAACAACACTTTGATTCATATTTTAAAATCCAGACTAACGTGTCTCTTCCACTCTTCTGCTTTCTAGCTTCTGCAACTCTGACAGAATTGAGTTCAATATTAATGATTAGCAATCATTTTCAGGCTATACGCTCTCCTGCCTTCTGCAGTCCAAATGCCTTGTCAGCTTGGCTCAGTTGGTAAGATACTCACCTTTGTATTGGTTTCTCCTGGCTTCAAGATGAATAAAAAGCTGGGCTGGTGGCTAGGCTAAAATTAAATTCCAATCACTCAAGTACCCTCTGAGATGCACCTGAACCATCCAAGCTGACTTCCCTTGAAAAGGCATGTTATGCAAAGATACCTTGTGTGACTCTAGGGGTTGTTTCAGTGAAAGTCCTGTAGATGTTTCTCTCTGCGTTGCAGGCAGAAAGCAGGCAGCTTGATTACACCGCTATTGTTTTTAAATGCATAATTAAATAATTAAACCTGCTGAATAAAGCTGGCTTTTTTCTAGAAAAGAATATAGAGTTGGTTGGACCCAGCAGACTCTTTTTTAAAAGATGCAAATGAAGTACAAGCCTAGAAGCATAGTTCTACTGATTTTTAAAACCTCTGACTACTGTTGGTTTTTAAATGTTAAATGTACTATATCCTCCAGCTGCCTTTGTGAGCTCACTTCTGGCAGGTACTAGCCACCTTCAGTTACTTCAAAATCCTGCCCTCCCAGCTCCTTCATCGTGATTCTACAGTCTGCCTTCCATATAAAGACTTCACAATTAGAATATTCAAACATGATTTTAGATTTAGAATCGAGAAATCAATTTTAAACAATAAAAACTTGTAAATCTGTCCCAAAGAGTGGGTATTCACACAAGTTAGCCTTAGCTTAGTGATACTAGACTCAGATTTCCCATATAACCCAGAGAGAAAGGCAGTTGTCTGCTTTCATTCACCCACTGGAGGATTTTTTTTCTCTTCAATCACTGTAGGAAGAACCTTGGTGTTGTGAGGTTAAAATTTGCCTTTGGGATATCTCTCAAAATAACAACTGTGTGGTGAGAACACAGAGCTGCTACTGTGTTCGCAAGTTTAAGCTAGGGCTCCTTACTGCAGGATCTGCATAGGCTCTCTGGATGCAAGGGCCCCAAAGGATAGAAAATAAAATTTTTTCTATCTCCAAAATAATACAAGAGCATAGGGGACATTTAATCACCCTAAAGCCAAAAGGAACAATGTGGAAAAAAATGTCAGGTCAAGAATGGTAGAGAAGTAAAGATTAAAGGGATTAAACAATTTTCCTGCAGCTTGTACTGCATAAAAGTCTAGAACAAATTCCAACTATTCTTTTTTCTCTGCATGGAAAATGACAGAAGTTAAACCTATGGTGGAAAACACCTGGAAAAGAGAAAGCAAGCATTCCTTCCTTCCTTCCTTTGTCTTAACACTTCTTATTTATATGGTATTCTCTCTATATACACGTATATATAGTATATACACATTTACACAGATATATATACCTATAAGTATATATAAACTGAGGATTAGTCTTGTCAAATTCTAATTTGTAAGGCCCAAATCAGCAACATGATGTGATTTCTCTTCTTTTCATTTTCTGGGTGACAACAGAGGGGTCAGCGGTTAAAGACTCACATGGTCCATGTACATGTAACTAAACTAAGCAACAGTTTTCTAAGGTAATTTTTTTTTTTTTTTGTGTGTAAGATATCTCTATAGAAAAGTATGAATGCCTATTTTAACATTCTAGTCAATGTGAATTTTACCACTGCCAAGTGTAATGACCTCTGTCAAAAAGAATGACCTACTGGCCAAATAAAACCCATTTGTAAGATTTAAATGAGACAAAAGTAGTGCACGGATCTCTGTGTGAGGCAGAGTATCATGCTCAGACTTCTTCACCTAGTCTGCATTCTGCTTTCTGATGACAGACTATCCATAGTCTTGGAGAAATTTTACACTGAAAGAGAAATGATCCTTTCCTTTGTAAAGTGACAGGTATCTTTAACAGTTGTACAACTGTTTGTGTTGCTTGAAGGTAACCATGTGTGATTTTAGATTCTCTAAAATGATTTGTATTTTTGCCCAGAGTCAAACATCTCAGTAACACAATGAACAAGACCATTTTAAAGCATGTCAGTTCAAAATCTTTTTGCAATATTTTGCCAGAATTTACTTTTTTGTTTTTCCTCTTGGGAAAACAGAGGGTCCCAAGGCTACTGCAAGGGGTAGGAGCATAAGTTCCATTTGAAGTCAGTAGGATTTGTAATCCTAAATACCTCAAATGCATGTGAAAATCTCTGTGGATATATGCCTTGACAAAAACATCATCTTTCTCTTTCCTTTGACACTGAAGTTCCATTTCCATAAAGACAAAGAATCTACACTCTTCAACTCTAACATGTACAAGACCCCAGTGATATTTCTGTGAGCTACCTACAGACAATACAAGGAAAATGTTGTCAATGAAATATAGAAACAGATGTAAAGTGAAATTTTCATAAGTACATTCAGAGACTTCCAATGGGTATCTTCTTCCTAAACACCTTAGTAATTTTGAAGACTCAAATCTCTGTTCAGCAAAGCTGCTCCCTTTTATCACTCCTGTTTGTAAAATAAATGACTACCAAAGCTCAAATTGAAAGTGAATAAAGAAAGAATTGTGGTTTTGTCTCCTCCACTAGCCTGTCATTTATATAGTTATCCCTTTATTCATTTGTTCATTCCTTTCCTTCTTAACTGATTCACTCTCTTCTCATTTATGGTATGATTCACAAGTATAATTTCAAACTATTTTATTTCCAGAGGCATAAAAATGTTTTCCTATAAAATGACTTGACTTTTTTTTTTTTTTTAAGCAGTTATTTAAAACTTAGCAACTAACTAAACAATTGGGCATCTCCTGCAATTATGCAACACTGATATTATCTAATATTCTTTAACCATTATCCACCAGTTAAATCCCAGTGCTTGGAGAAGGCCAAGTACACTGCAATTTGTTGTTTCCTTCTGTGTACCACACTGTGACTATCTCGCAACAAGCTCTTTTCTTTTTTTTTTATTTTTTTATTTTTTTTATTAAAAAAGCTATCTGCCTGCTCAATAATTTGCCTAAGCAATTTGCTTGCAGTAATACCTTTTCTGAATGTAAAATCACAGCAATTATATATCCAGATAGCCACTTCACATTCTGAAGGGCAAAGCAAGTCTCACACTCTACTTGAATGCCACTTAACTTTGACCACAGGATCCAAAAGAGAGGTCTGTGCAATGGATCTACATGACTGAAATTCATTTGTATTGTAGTTATCACGTAGATGATCATTCCTTTCTAAATGATAGAATACCATCTTGAATAAAATTCTAGGACACTGACATTCTGGAATTAAAGAGGCATGGTGTTGAATAATGAAACAAAGCTAGTCAAAGATCCAGGATCCTAAAAATGCCTTAAGCAGTGGAAAAAGTCTACCAGCTACTTGAGATTTTACAGCTGTAATATCCTCACCTCATATGTGTTCTCAAGCAGGAGTTATATGAGCTTCACTGAACATTACAAACAGGAAAAATGAACAACTGTCAAAAGGCAAACAGAAGCTAACCGACCTGCGCTTTATATTGTGTGTTGTTATCCTCCACAAATCAAACAGCTGATAACTGGTTCTACCAAATGAAAAGAAGCTGTGCAAAATGTAATTTTTGACATTTGTCCTGAAAATAATACATTCTAGAAAGCTTTAAGAAATAATGAAATTTAAGACCCAGGTGGTTTCGTATTATAGTTCTTGAGAGTGATCTGGTATGGACTGTTACAGAATACAGTGTCAGAGAGAAAAACATAGAAAATAGCAAAGTTAAAGTACAATGTTCTGATTTTAAGGACAAAATTATGGCATGCTATTACACTATTTTGTACCTGTCTTTCAGAGGATGGACTGCTGAGATTTTTTTGCATACAGTGTTTTTTACTGACGAGACATTAAGCATCAAATACATCTCATCACACCTCGCAGCATCAGAGCTACTAGTGTTCACAGTGATGTTCACCTATGATATTTAGAGTGAATGTCTCTTACCATCCCACCTGAAAACTTTGTTGCTAGCTATGAACACCAAGCAGTGAATGCTCGATAGGGAGTTATCTCAAATTGTCAATATGAAGTTCTTTTTCCTGGCATGTCTGTTGTTTGCAGTGCTATCCTAGACACAGCAATTAGAATATTTTGTATTGTTTTTTCCTATCCTTTGGTAGCTGGCCTGGAAATTGTTGAAGTACTGCCATCACTTAACAACTCACTGACACAAAGTGCAAAATGCACTTACAGAATCTCTATCTGAACAAGCAGCATATACACAAAACACATTTATTTTGAAAACCAGGCCTTAAATTCTTACATTAAAACTGATGTCAATGAATTGGCCCCTTAAGTGTTAGGAAATGCGGTAATTACATTTGTGACATTCAAGTAGCAAAGTTTTTAACATGAAAGAAAACATACGTGAAGATACCTGGTTTACATTGCATGTTACACCGAGATTCATGGTTACAGAGAATCTTTCTAAACATATGTATCATCACTGAATATAAACTGGAATGGATGGGGACTAAAAAACATAGTTGAAAAATACAGAGATGATTCAAACCCTTATACATAAACCACTCAATCTGTGACTTAATTGGGAATGACATGTAAGTATGAATATAGCTCTTCACTAAGGCATAGGACAGATGGAGGAAGAAAGGCATAAAGTGTATGGGGTTATCACAAAATAACAGAAGACACCACAAAATGTGTACTAACTTTACCTTGATCAAAAGGCTTGTTTGGATTCCAGTTTCTGAAATAATCATCCTAAATGGGAAGGAAAAGAAAGAAACTCAGGAAAAATATATTTAGTCTTTTCAGTACAATTTTACATAACTAAACTACAAATTAATCAACTCATCTTTTGATCCTAACATTTCTAGCCCAAATCAGATAAGGCTATCAACAGGTTGTATCCCAAAGGGTAGTAAATGCCTGTTAGAAATTAGAGAATAAAACATTCCTTGGATTCTGTACCTTGAATTTTTCTTCTGAATTGTTTTTCAAAGTATGCCCATTATTAAACATTTTTTGATAACTCTCTATTATTTCATACCAGTCTACATTTTTTGATGCAAAGATAAGAGCATATTGTTCAGATAACGTAACATGATCCACACCATCCTGGTATGGTGAGAGCTCAGCAAAGTAAATCCAAAAATACTTATATTCATTCAGACATATGTAAACCAAACCACTGTGAATGTACAGAAATACAGCAAAAGTATTGTAAGAATTATAGTTAAGTTACAATAACATGCAGGAGTATTTGCAGTGAATACTTCTGTCACTGTTCCTACTATTAAATTTAAAAAATCTTCTTAAAACAGATGTAAAGATATTCTGCTGTGAGTTTTGTGGTTCTTGTACATAATTCTGGTTGGACTTTAAAAGGAGAAGGTAGGAAGTGTCAGAGGGCCTGGCCAAATGAACATTCTGTTGCAAATCTATCTCTGCAGAAAGAATGTAAAACTCTTGTGTGATGGATCAATTTATATTCTATGTACTTAGCAAATATTTACCTGAAGACAAAGTTTCCCCTGCTTCAGTGTGCCATCAACCTTAGTCCTGAAGAACTGGGATTCAAGCCCAACTATTATATTTAGTTTCAGCATATTCTATATATCTCATTTGTGTCCTCTTTGAGAGGACATGATAATAACAGAACAACGTATTTGAAGTGAGGAAGCATGGAAGATTTCTATAACACTGTGACATTTTTCTGCATATTAAACTTGATTTCCTTTTTAATATATCCAGTATTTTATATTCATTTCTTGAGGGCTACCACTGAAGAGATGTCTTTATCAAGATGTCCAGAATGATACCTAGATTTCTTTTTTGTCTCAGGAGGGTAACTGAAAACCCATCAGTGTGAATGAGACACCTAAATTATTTCTTCCACTGAGCTTTGTTTACCATTTATCTCTAGTACACTGAATTTCACATACTCTCATGCTATCCAGTCACCCTCATCTGGAATATTTTGGAGACTTGGAAGCCAGCATGTCTTACTTTCTGGATTTGGAACAGCCCAGGGGACTGTTACGGGAGGTGTGGGGACTCTCCATGCCCTCCCTGAGCACCGGGAGATGCCCCTGATGGCAGCACATCCCCGTCTGGTCGCTACAGCCAGCATGAGGAGCAGAAAGTACTAATGCTGACAGCACGGAGAGCCACATGCTGCTATCTTGTTCTGCTCTGCCTGCTCCAGGGGCAGGCAAGGACAGGCGGGGGCTGGTTGTAATTATGCATGACTACCAGAAGGAAATGTATATTTTCTTTCTCCAAGTATATTCATGCTCAGTCTCTATACTGACTTCATGGACAGTGATGATGTTCCACAATAACAACAAAGATTATTATTCAGACTTTATTTCAGATACATCAAAAGTATCTATACTTTTTCTTCAGAAGTACAGGGTTTAACACCAGAGATAGAATCACAGGCTTGCCTTTGAATTCCACAGCTTTGTTAATACAAAAAATCCCTCATGGTTATACAATGCTTTGTAATTGATTATGATGTACTGCTAAATTCACCAAGCATTAATCACTTTTCAGAATGTGCTGGGTTTTAAGCTTTTGAGCAGGATAATTTTTTTCCAGCAACAAAATATTATTTTCTTGCCTGCTTACATTTTTTCCCAGGTGTTGCTTTGCTGCTGGGTTTTCAGCATCAGAAACTGTTAAATAATTCAAATCCCAAGAAATATTTCTTATGCTGTTGGCACACGGAACCAGTTTTGAAATAAGGATTGGAAAGGGGGTGTATCTCAATTTCACTGTCAAAGGAATATTTTACAGGAAATGCACCTTCCTCAGAAAAAAAGAAACTACAAAACACCCATATCTTCTGCAAACCTATTCTTTCTACTTTTCTCCTTTATGCAGACCTGTTTAGTATTCCCTTTCGAAAATTGAAACTATATTTATTTTACAATATGTCTGAAACTACAATATGATAGCATAGGAAAATGTACAAGAATAAATACGGAAAAAACACTAGAAAATAGAATGGAGAAAACCTTTGAGATTTTCAATATATAAAACTCATTATTATTTATAGGAGTAAATAATGACTATACATACGTTAGAGCAATACAGTCAATAGTAGTTCAGAGTAACTTATGCCAGTTGGACAATAGAAAATATAGCACTAGAGTTTCACTTCAACATTGACACCAGCAAGAACTGAATGGTTATGGCACTATAAAGGTGAAATTCACCCTGTAGATATGGCTGAGCAGAAAATCTATGTCTCATTTAAATACTACCTAAAGCTCTGACTTGAAAAATGAACAGGGCTTTGTACTAGTATTCGGCAAGTTGCTGAAATTTATACATTAACCCAAAATTATTTTTGTTAGGAGGAGGAACTCCTACCATCTCTCAATGGTTACCATCATTTTACTGTAACTTCCTCCAACAGAAAAACACAATGCTGATACAGCAGTATACAGTGTCTAAACATGACACTGATTTCCAAGTATATATTATCCTCTCTATATATCTATATACATATCTATCTATCTATATATCCTAGATATATATCTATAAAATACAATCAGCTTGATTAAGGAGATTTAACATCCTTATTCAATAAAACACCTTCCTGACAAAAATTACACATAAATCTATGATTTTGTAAGCTTTCTACTAGAACAGACACTAATGTGCTTAAAATACCTTATGCCTGCTGTAACATAACTATTATTTCATTTTAACATTAACATGTTAATAAATCAAAATTAACTCTTTAATAATTAACATGTATCCATACATTTAACTTATAACAATATTAACAGTTGACCATAACAGTGTAAAGTATAATATAAATTATGATATGTTGTAAGTAATTTTTTTCACTCTATGGATATTTACAAGTTAAAAGTGAAAAACCTACCTCAACTTCCTGAATACGTAAGCATTACAAATGAGAAAAGAAAAAAGAATGAAATAAAACAATATAAAAATATGTTAACATTCATTAATTTTCTCCTTGGCGGCCTTTTAAATGTGAAATCACTTATTTCAGATGACCTTCACCTCCAAATGAAATAATTTTCTCTCCTTCTTTTCTGACCTTTCCACCTTTGACCCTTCTAGTTTTCATCTGCTGAGCTGTTAGCCAAATGCCATTCTATTAGCACACATTTCCCTCATAGAGCACAAAAAAAAAAAGGCACTTTAATTTCCTTTTGGCTGACAAAACCACCAGAAAGTATTTTTCCACACATTCGTCTGTTACATACCTGATATAAGGAGAATGGATTTTTTTTCTTTAGCTGATTTTAAAGACTATTTATTTGATGGCCTTTAAGGGAAGGCAAAACCAGACATAGATCCACTTCAATACAACAGATGACAGCAACTGAGAAAAATTTTTGATTAATAAATATTTTAAAATATCTTTCTCCTTGCATAGAATTCAAACTATGATGGTTTTGCCTACGGTTCAATGGCTGCATAAGACTAAGTCAATCTTTTAATTAACTGAAGGGATTCTGCACACCTAAAATCAAGCATAAAAAGAGAAGAACTGATACCACAAACCAACACTGGATCTGACTCCCTTAGCTCCACCCAGAATTATATAAATGTGATGTATTGGCTTGGCCTCTGCACACAGTCAAATAAACATGAACCCTAAACTCTGTAAGTTGCCTGTCCCTCTCTCAGAGCTCAGACATGCTGAAGGGAATGAGACAGAGCTTCACTGCAGGTCCTGTGACTCCAGGTCCCTGATGGACTCACAGTCTCACAACACAGGTAAATACTCAACTTCCACTTCCAGGAAAAAATCTGACTTCTGTCAAACTGACTCCACTCCAGTTCTTAAGGAAATTATGAGTTCTGTTCTCAGTGGGTACGGGGTGAGGTGTTTGGCAAGATTCCTTTTTTCTGCCCCCTTATAAAGTCTACTGCCTGCCTAATATAGACACCTGGTATAGCAAAGCAGATAACCTGAGACGGTCCCTCATACAGAGAACAGCTTACTTTTGACATCCCCTGACCTAATTCAATTGCAAGACTTGGGACAGAAGCTGTCTTTTCAGTCCTGTATCTGTTCATCACCTAGCATCATGGAATCCTACTTCAAGATTTCACCCTCAGGAAATTTAATTGAGAAATAAGTTATGATCATAACAAATGAAAAAATCATAGAAGAGCAAATATAGATTGCTAGACTTGGGCCTCAATTCTTTATTGCATTTTAATTATTTTGATTTGAGCAATCAAGAGAAGAGATGAAACACATTTTGAAGTGATTTAAATCCATTTTGCCATATTATGCATAATAAATTATTGTTTCTTAACAAGAGCAAAATATTCTTTTATTGTTCAATACAAACTGTCAAATCAAGCCAACTTAGATTGATATGCCATCAACAAAGTCAATCAAGAGAATAATCATATGTTAAACTAAGTATGCAAAAGGCATATTAAAGAGTGCTAGTTTAAATGCTCCCAAAAGTTTTCTTACTTTCTTACAGGCAGAACTATCAAAAATCTCATTCATCAGAACTCATAGATTGGGTTGTTATTTGCAAAAACCAAACCTTGAACTAGACCCGTGTGTGAGACAATTTCCTGTTAGTCATATCAGAAAAGTTAACAAGTAGAAATTGACCCTAAAAGCACTACATTAATATATGACTTCACTTCTCTCTTATAACCCTCCACATCACTACAATAACAATATAGTTTAAAAACTGAAATGAATGGTAAAACTAAAGAGATTTATCCTCTTTATCCCCACCAACTAAGGAAGTAAACAACAGCTGCTTGTTCTCCCGAAGTTTAAGTATTTAAGTTATTCCCACCAAACCTACTCTATTGTCAATTTTTAGTTTATTTATTACCTAAAGACTTGATATTTTGGAGGAGTTAATGAAGCATGGTTAATTTAACACACAGGCACTCTTTATACTTACTGTATTTACTTGCCAGAAAGAAGCTCTTGTAAAATACTCTTGTTTATAAATAGAGTCAATCATTAGCTAAACGGGTGCGTAAATATTTATATTTTGTACCATTAACTGAGCTTATAAGTTATTTGTATGAATCAAGCAGAAATTAGATGCTGATTGGAAAAACTCCACAGAAAATCCCCCTTATTTTGCACCTTTCAGAACAGGCTCAGTTCAGTTTCCTCCCCCAAAGGCCTGTGAAGAGCCCACTGACCTGGATGAGCCCGCAGGGCACACAGCCATCATGAAACCCTCCTCACCGACCCCCCTGAGGAGACTTGTATACAAAGAGCATAGCCCCAAGGACTGAGATAAATTTTTGGAGGTAATCTTCATTTCCCACTCCTCCCAGCCAACAAGAGCTTAAATTTCTAAGTATCTCCAGGAAGGACGTTTATTAACATTGGTTTGCAGCCTGCTTAGTATTTTCCTCTTCTATTCTTGATCTATGATTAAACCTTTTACCCTGATAAAGACCAGCTGGGAAAAGTGGTAATTCTCAGCCCATTGCTTTTTTAAATTTAGCTCCAGAAAAATGCAGCTGCATTTTCTGCGTCTCTACCTTATCGTACAGAAGATCATTCCAACACTAAGCAGTGTTAAAGCACCAGCTGCTGCTTGCTAAAGTCAATCTAGCCTGTATCATAAATATCTCCCCAAGGCCCATTGCCTGTTTTAAGCAAATAGTTTGTGTCAGCAAATTACACATAATTTATTTATTTATTTAAGACTAAGAGAAAATATTTTATCCACTGAGTACTTCAGTGAATAAAGATTTCCCAATGGTAGCTGGTGCCCAGAGTCTGCAGTAGTGTCAAGAGCTGCCTCCAAACTCTTAAGCACATTAAGACACCTCTAACCACCTCTGAGCTCATTTGCTCGCCCTCCCAGGAATCAGAGGATATGCATCCAAACATAATGCTTTTGCTTTGTGAATCAGTAGTGCTTGTGCTGTGGATATTTCATTTTAAATTTGATAGGAGAAACCTTTGAAAAGTTTACCGATAAAGTTCCCAGAAAGGCTGGGAATGAAAGGGTTTAATTAAAGATCTAGCAGTATTAAGTGGTAAAATTGAAAGAAACCACTCCAGACTGAAGTAGTACCACATGCAATGAAAAGTGTGAGCATGTCAAAACCTGCCTAGAATACTGTAGCTAAGTCATCAATAAAAATATAATTAAATACTTTAACCTAGAATTAAATGGTGCAAAGGATTCACATTGGACTTGTATATAATGCTATATACATTAATGCTTGCTTATTAATAACAGTATAAAATATATACATACGTATGCAAATAAATCCCAGATATAACTGGCATAGAAAAGATATTTGACCATGTATTGCAATCTCAGATGTCCCATGAGACTCAAATTCTCAGCACGTGTACTTTTTGTTCAGCTGCCACTAACATGCAAAAAAATGTCTTCTGCTTAATAGGGCCTAGAATGTTATTTTTTTCTTATTTTCATAAATTAAAAGGGTTTTTTTGGTTGGTTGGGATTTTTTCTGCTATATCAGAAACAAGATTTGCCACTCTTGATTTACTGGAAGAGCATTCCAAAAGTTTCTATAGGCAATACTAAGAAAGTAGAGAAAACTTTCAGCATAGACTTTATTCAGTGACAGTCACAATGATTCTTTGGGGTGGCAAAAATTTCAGAAATTAAATTTAAATTTTGAAAAAAAAAATGAAAAATAAGTTACCACTGAGCCCATATCTGTCAGAATAAGAGTTCTCATTCTTCAGGTGTCAATCATATGGCCTTTTATACACAAATGTTCCAGCTGTTCTTTTGGGGTTTTGTGGTTTGCTTTTTTTTTTTTTTTTTTTTTTGTAAAAAGACAAATATAGTATGAATTTAAAATATTTCTTAAAAAAACCCAAACCACTCTTTGTTTATCCATAAGAATGAAGCCAGAGGGTATGTCTACAATGTCGAGGGCAAACAGATGCTCGTTTACTCTGCTTGTGCTTCAAGCAGGATGAATGAGGGCCAGCTGTGAGCCAGAAGCTATAGAGCTGCTTTTGCACAGACTGTGCCAGCATACACAGCTGATATATTTGGGTGGCTGGAACAATCACACAACTGTCGACAGTGGCTTGTGTTGAAATACTTAAAATTGCAAAAAGTGCCTTGGTTTGATTGTTTGCCGGCTTTTAGTAGACTAACTTTACAAATACATTATCACTTGTGCCTGAACTCTTCCTCTCATCAGCATGTGCTAAAAAGCCTGTTCAACCTGCCTACAGCTAAATAATTCATTCTAACTTTACTTTCATCAAGTTTTTCACACTTTAGTATGTCCCACCAGCCACACCAGGTTATGCTGCAAGCATTAAAGCTCTCACAAGCCCAGAAAGGTAAAGCTCAGGAGTCTCACAAGGCATGGGCTTGCTGATCCTTGTTACATTGGGTGCGCTACACTGTCACAGATGTTACAACTCCAAGACCAGACTGAAAAAACTAGAACTTTACTTGCTTGCTTATGTTGTAAATTAACAACACATACTCACTAGCTACAGTGCCTCAGCCACACAGAACTGTCTTAGAGGCACTGCAGAGGCACATGCAATTAATTACTTTCTTCTCCAGTCATGAGTTCCCCTTCCACCACCTTTGCAAAAAGCCTCCTCTGTGGCTATCAGAGAGGCAGCAGAGGGAGGGAGGAGTTGGGATGGAAGGAAGACAGTCAGTGGGATACATCTAGCAAGGCCTGAGGATGAGAGTGATGATTGACCAACTCGGCTGAAACAATTTCTTCAGACAATCAGATCCTGGGGAAATCTGCAAGGAAGCTCAATAGTTACTGACCCCTAAACAAATCTGTAAGGCCCTACTCCTGCCAGCATTTGTTCCCAGATGCTTGAGAGTTTCTGATTTCTTTGGTTACTCTCCAATTATACCCTGATGCCTACAGCAAGTTTAACCAGAACTC